ATTTAAATATTTGTTGCAAAAACGAAATCTGATATATTAAGAATACTTTTAGGGAATGATTGTAAGGTGCTGGTTGCAAGGTGAGAAATAAATCTATTCTGTAACCTTGAATGAACTTCAATGTATCTGCTGGAGCAAAGACCTTACAAAATATTCATATATATTTATATTTAGAGCCTGTCGGACAATAACAGCTACAAGTTTATAAGAAAGAAAAAATTTGTTAAACCTTAGGTGAATGTTAGTCTGTGAAGAATCGCTTTTTAGCTAGATAACTGACATTTTATTTCACTTTGAAAACATTTCTTTTTTCTAATAACTAATTCTGTTTTTAAATAAAGGAGGGCGCTGCGATCACCGAGGCAAGCGGCTGCACGTTGGCAGCGCTCTGTAAAAAAGTGTAAAACATTCCTTTCCCCTTAGTGATTATCATTAAATACTTGAATAGGTTTTTTCTACAAACCTACACGTTTTCAAAGATTTCTGGTCCGATGTTATGAGCATGAAACAGCGGACAATATACTTCGAACGAGTGAGGATATACTACGAACGCCTGGAATTTTAAGATAAGTACCCTTCTTTCATCTAAACTAAATCAAATTTCTATAAATAAGTGCCTTTAAATCAATAAGGTTTAATTTTTCCTCAGTTTTTAGCAATAAACAATACTTGAAATTGCTCATTGCTAGTGGCTTCCTTTGTGGTTACAATTCCAAACAGACGCCTACGTTATCAGTTCACGTCTGTCACCACCTACAAAGGCCCCGCACCTTATCTTGTTTTGAGGAATTTCGTGAGAGGAAAAATTGGGGATTCGGGGCATCGCGCTACTTCCCTCTCGGATCTTCTAATTTCCCCCTTTTTTTTTAGATCGCTTAAATATATTTTCGCCTTTAAATAATATTATACCTGACCGATTTTTGTTCTCATACTGTTCCTTGCTATCTGTTAAATGTCCATATGTAAAGGATGGATTATTCTCACTGCCTTAATAAATTCTTAGAACTATGAGCTTATATAATATAGGTGCTCGTTATGTTATACTAGCATAATAACCTAGTAATAATTATGATAGTAAAATAATTAATCTTGAATAAATTATAGTTAAATATAAAGACTATGTTTAATTTGTGTTTTTAATACATATATATATATATGTGTGTGTGTGTGTGTGTGGTGTGTGATATATAAGTAAAGTTGTAAGAACAATACAAAAAAGACCAATTTTGGTCAAAATTTTTTTGCGCAATGTGCTGCAAAATTAAGGAAATGAGAAGAGAAATTGTAGTTAGCTCGCCAAAAAGTTACCAAAAGCTGTGGCTCCAAGAAAACTCCATATGCATATTCAGTAGTTATTTACAAGTTCGAATAAAAACTATATGTTAAAATTTTCGGAATTTAACACAGTATTAAAAAACAATCAATGAATGGGCAATATATTAGGCTACATGTGAAATAAAATGTAAATGATAAAACGCAGTAAAATACTAATCGAGGGAACAAGTTAAAGGGAAAAAATCAGTAAAAAACCAATCGATGGAGCAAATTAAAGCCAAAAAATATTAAAAATTAAAAAGCGGAAAATGGTAAATTAGCCCAATTCGAGGTCCACTGTGGCTTTTCAAGGGAAATTTCTGAGTGAGCATCGAATCAAACTAACTCTATTACGCGTTTCGCCGAAACACAATTGAAACTTTGAGTTACAAAATTTTTTAATTATTTAAACAAACTGTCCAAAAATTAAAAAAAAATTAGTCTCAATTCTCTGTTCCAATTTCCCGACGCGTCATTAAGGTGTAAAAAATGTGAAAGCAATTCCGATGTACAGCAATAATAAAAATAAAAATAAATAGCGGCATGCTATTAGTCAAAATATACAATAACGTACGGGCTGGACCTGTAAGCTTAAAGAATTAAAACTTTATAAATGAATCTGAAATTAAATTTAAACGAATAAGGAAAAAATAAAACAACCAACAGCGTGGGTCTTGCTAAGACCAAGAACAAATTTTTTAAAGAAATATTAAAAAACAGACCTGTAGCAATGCTGTCTTCTCTGTTGAGGAGCAAAACAAAAAGGGGTTGTATTTCGCCTTTGCGCTTTTCATCGTTCTCCAACTTGTCGTGTGACGTAGGAAGGGGGAAACAAGGTCACTGGGCAATAGCCAATGTCAAGAGACTGTCCGTTGGCGATATATATATATATATATATATGTAAGATATAACAATATATGATAGCTGCTTCAAAATATAATTGATGACCTCAAAATTAACATTCTAAATTTGATGATCTACCCCTAAATTCGTCTCTTCTCACAGGTTCCAGAGTTTTCTATCTTACGTAATGTTTTAATGCATATACCTCTTGTCCAATCAAATTAATTCTAAACCAAAACTCTGAACTGAAACTTTCCCACTCCCAGCCTTCTTCCTATGAAAGTACTATAACCTTCCCCTTTCTACCGCATAGCTTTCCTGCTGGCAAGACGCTTTTAAACCATGCTGCTGCTGCTTACTTACTTAAGATGACGTTCTAATACAAACTGCAATTTATGTATTCAAATAAAATTAAGAAACATCTTGTTTCAAAAAAGGATGATTTGATATGCATGGAAAAAATAAAGATTGTGATTTTTCAAAATATGTTGTACTAAATAGCGTCTCATGCTGTCACCACTCTGTCACCTTCAAGCCACGACGGTCTTTTCGGTCATCTACGCAGTATCGTAAGCTGTTGAGAGTTCCACTGCTTTCATCTACGCATTTGAAATCATTACATATATATATTTGGTGTGTGTGGTTGTGGTCTTGTATTGTATATGGTTCTCTGTTGTTTCTCTGCTGCTGTTTTTTGAAAAATGTATGAAAATGTTAGAAACGAAAATAACATAAGTTACTTTAGTTAAATTAATATATACTTTTGTTTGATGACTTTTGTTGATGTCTAAGGATGCAAGCATACATATTACTTTGTATTCCATGCTAAATACCTTGATAACACTGTCAATATTTCCCCCCCCAGCAACCATTACCAAACACACTCACTATTCACCATTACCAAACACACTCACTACACACACACACCTGTGAGACACTATTTATTGTAAATGAAACAGCTTCTCCTTTTAACTACACTCATGAACACAATCGTATTTTAGGATATTTTCTACTCCTTTTCCTTTTCTCTCTATAGGCCCTTTTTTCTCCCCTCTATTATTTTTGAGCCATTTATTTTAAATTTTATTTTGTCCCATCTTTTCTTCCTGGCCTTTCGAACTCGTACAAAATGTACGAAGTTCCTTTTTACTCTCCTCAAATACGAAATTGTCCCCTTTCTATATACCCTTCATTTGCACCTATGCTTGATTTTTCGCACACCCTGAAATATTTGATGAAGAAATAGACTGGATTAATGAAACCAAATACCTTGGAGTCACCCTTGACCAAAAACTTACCTTCATAACCCATTTCCGATCCGTAGTACAAAAATTTAAAATCACCACAGCTACTATGCGACCTCTTCTTGGTAGAAAAAGCAACTTATCTACTACAAACAAATTAATTCTATATCGCTCCATACTGCGCCCAGCTCTTCTTTATGCAGCACCGACCTGGGGACATGCAGCTAAAACCAATATTAAACAATTACAAATTCTACAAAATAAAATTCTACGAGAAATTATCAATGCTCCTTGGTATAATCCCAACATCTATATTCACAGAGACCTTCGAATCGAACTTATTTCAAGAGTATATTAAACGATTAGCGGTCAACTTCTTTTATTCAGTACAAACCCACAGTAATAGCCTTATTAGCACTCTCAGACACTCCCCGCGTCCCAGAGAAAAACATCGTTACCCGTTGTGACGTCCTTCCCACATAAGAATTACAACCTTAATTGACTTATTCACGCCAAACTGACTCTGCGGTTTTACCACCCGCGGCTACATCTTATAACGACACTGAACTTGACACCTCCCCTTTTTTCGCCGCCGCTAGTGCGGACCTCACTCTCTTTCATCCGCCTCCCACACTCCTTTCACCTTTCTCTTTTTTCTCCCACCCGATCTTTATCAGAAGTCGAGTAAAAAGATATTTATACATCTTGACACTCGAGAATAAAATTCGATCTGTGTGCTTGTGTTGATTTTTCGCCAATCGATGCAGAAAGACTTAGCAGGTGCAAAACAAGACATCTGTCTGCTTTGTCTGTGCTAGCGTCTACATCCCAAACTGGCAGCCTATGAGAGAGGCGATTCTATTATTTTCATCGAGGAGTAGGGGAGTTAGAATGGTTTTCTGAGGAATCTACCCGAGGCTGGGTGCATTATGAATAAAGACAAAAAAGTTCTTAATAAGTCATTCTTTATTTCCATCAAAACAGTATCACTCTTCCGAGATCAGCTTTCGTTCCGTCTACAAGCAAAACATTCGAAAAACTCAGCACGCAGGCTGATGTCACAAACAGCAGAGCCTCGCGCCGGTTATTACTTCAGTTCATTTCACAACAGAGGTAGTGCATGAATGAATTGTTAATTATATGATAACTATGCATTTATAAAACGTTTTTAATAATGAACTATAAATAATATTTTTAATTATCGATATATTGTTTTTTAAAATATTTACAAGTCTTAAGCTTGCGTTCTGTTGTGCTAAATATATTCACTTCATCTTAAATCTTCTGAAGTTTAAATAGATAAACGCGGATTTATAAAGGTGAATTATCTATTTGCCCTCTATTAGCAAATCAAAAAAACTGCCTAATATTTCCCTGAAAGTAACCGCAGAAGCTAAAGCAATCCACCTTTGCAATTTTCTGAACTTCCTAATGTAAGCAAACATCGTTCACTGCCGTTGGCGTTCCATTCTAACTTCCCTACTCTCCGATGAAAATAATAGAATCGCCTCTCTCATAGGCTGCCGTTTTGGGATGTCGACGCTAGTTTTGTCTGTCTGTTTTTAAATAAAAGTGTGTATGGCAACACTGACACGTGCCGCGAGAAGTAACCGTAAAACTTGTGAATGAGTGTAACGTGTATTCCTAGAATACCCTAGATTACTCTTTGTTCTTTATTTATTAAAGTTTTCTTCTGTTTGCTAATTATGTACAATGTATATTTAATCTCTTATGTAGGAAATAATTACATTATTAATTTTAGGCCATATTTTTCTGAAATTTCAAAATACCTATGCTATGGCAATTTCAGATAACGAATGTCGGTTATTTAAACTTAGTGAAAAAGATGAATTACGATTTTCTATTGAAGATCCGTCAGCAGCAGTAACTATAGAGCTGGTTGATGGCACAGCTGAAATATTTGGTGCCGAAATGTTAATGAATAAAATCTATTCATTTTCATCCTTTACTTCTGTAGCTGTGACTACTTCGAATAATTGTTTACTTAAAGTAAGAGGTAAAAATCACAAGATGAATATAACAAAACAGAAATCTACCCTTCGCACATATCATGAACTTTTGGAAGAGTGTAGGGTTGAAGCAAAGAAGAATAATGTTAGAGGACCAGTCACACTTCTTGCAGGTCCAACTGACGTAGGTAAGAGCACGTTATGTCGTTACCTATTGAATTCTGCAGCCCGATCTGGTTGGCAACCTCTCTTCATTGATTTAGATGTTGGACAAAGTTCAATTTCAATACCTGGAACTGTAGGCATTGTACCTGTTGAAAATACAGTAGATATTGTAGGGGGATTTGATGAAAGAAAACTTTCAGTTTATTTCTTTGGTTATAAAAGCCCTGGGCACAATATTTTGTTGTACTCTCTGCTGATTAAAAAATTAAGTCAAACTTTACATTCTCGAATGAAACATATTAGTAAGAATGTTCAAGCATCTGGAGTGGTAGTTGATACATGTGGATGGACGACAGGCAACGGATATTGCTCAACTGTTCTTGCATCTAAAGCATTTGAAATTGATGTACTATTTGTTCTTGGTGACAGTGACCTGTATACTCAGCTTCAGCAGGATGTATCTTCAAATGTGAAAGTGATATTTATACCAAAATTAAGTGGTGTTGTTGAGAGGAATAGGTCAGTAAGAATTAAAAGACGAAATGATCTTATAAGGGAATATTTTTATGGTTCTACTACTCCTCTTGAACCTTATATATTTGAAGTCAGTTTTTCAGATATTGAAGTATTTCAAGTGTTCATTTCATCAAAGAACAGACCTACTAATTTATCCAATGTTACATCAAAAGATATTTCTGTTGAATCAGTGCTGATAAATACTGAACTTCTAAATCATATTCTTGCACTTAGTTATGTCGATAGTATAGATGAAGATGTAATGTTGACCAGTGTTCTTGGCTTTATTTGCATTAAGGACATTGATATGGAACGTAAAATCATTACAGTTCTTTCTCCACAGCCTAGTCCTTTGCCTAAAAGAATTTTGATTAAAGGAGATATATTGTTAGATGATGATAGTTAAATGCAGCTTTTTTAACCGTATGTGTATATTTATGTGGGCTTATGGCAGTATAATTTTATGTGGTTATTTGTTCAGTTGCAAACACATGCCAGCACTACTAATTGTTTTGAAAGTAAAAACATCAACAGAAGATTAAAGTCTTAACATTGGAATTGACGGGAAAGTGAATGTATGGTAGCTTTTATAATTATTAAATTTTACTTCAGATTTTAATATTTTAAATTTGAAAATGGAAGCACTATTCCAGAGAACCTGATAAATGTAAACATTACCAAAATTGATATTACAATAATGTTAGAGGTAATCTTACATATTTTTTTTATTTTTTTTTTTATTTTATTTTATTTTATTTATTTTTTTTTTTTTGGTGTGTGTGTATGTGTGTGTGGTAGCAACCATTACAGCATTATGGGCCCCCACGCAAACCAATGTGCTGCTGCCCCTATGACAACCACTCTATGAAAGAAAACATATTAATATGGGGCTCCTATGCTCATAAAGCCCTCAGTCAAATGCATTAAGACCCCTGATTTCAGTGAAAAATCAAACATAGTGGCAATAGTCATTTACTGAAATTTTAATTGCCATTGAAGGTTGTTTTCCTGTAAAGTAATATATCTCGAGTAATGTTTTTAACAGTACATTTTTTGGGAGGGGAAGGGAAAGAGGGCTTTCTGATTATTCCCCCAATCCTTCTGCAAAATCACTGATCATTGACAACTATTTCTTTCCAACCTAACATGAAAAAACAGTAGTCATTTTAAGAAATAGCAGCACACTGAAAATTACATGAAACGGCAATGATTCACTAACCAAATTCCTGTCTTTGTTGCCTGGAAATGAAATGTTGCTATATATAAATATACAAGAACTTTTAAGGTATTTCTAATAATGGAATTGGGTTTTCATCCACAGAGACGTACTTAACAAGCTGATTTTTATTTATATACATATACTTAATATTGTGCCTTTTATAGTAATTTTAATTCATATACACTAAATATCAATCAATCATGTTTAACAAGTTAAATTTGACTTGTGTATGCTTATTGGAAGCACTGCAACAGAGATCCCTGTAAATGTAACCATTGCCAAATTAGCGATAACATTTCAAATCTGGTAATCTCCTAAAGTACTGTTCATAGGTAGTAATCATAACACTTGCTTTTTTTTTTTTTTTTTTTTACTGTTGTTTGTAATATGCACATTGTATCATATTCATCATTGTCTTTGCAATTGTAACAGAAAAGTACCTAAATAAATGTAAGGGAGGAGGATGGATGTGATATTTGCCATTACTCATTAAGCTGTTTCATTTAGTTATTTCTTCAGCATATAGATGACATTATTGTAGCATGATTCACAAAAAGAAAAAGGAACCCATGGCTGCAAAATGCATCAAATGCTACAAATCTCATTGTTTGAGCAAGCAGCAAGGACTCCCAAAAGCGATGCCATTCTTAGGAGGCAAGCAGAAAAAGGAGCAATTATTGATCAAGCAGTGCAGTGGGAAATTATATATTTGATGATAAAGAGGTTGGGTCTAATCCTAGTATCCGGTGCACATGGGATTTGGCTACTTTTGGCGACTTAATGATAAGCAGCAAAAACGGAACATACACGATTTATTTTTTGTTTTAATTTTAGAATGGTTGTGAGTGGATTATAGAACACGATGATGTAATAATACAAAAACACTATTTCTATACATTACATTAATCAGTACAAAACGCATTTTGGTTTAATCCTAGTATCTGGTGCATACAGGATTTGGCTACTTTTGGCGACTTTATGATGAGCTGTAAAAACGTAACATATATGATGAGTAGGAAACAGGTCATTCAAAGAATGTATGTAGTTATACATAGTATATAGTATGTATGTAGTGATAGTATATAGTATATACATAGACGTTCTTTGGGTCATTTTTGGTGTTGGCGAAAATTTTCAAAATCGCGCCAAGGCTGCACCGTACACAGTCAAAAGTCGTTAATCCGTACTCGTCGGGACTTCGGCGATTCCAGATTATAGATCATCAGTTTAAATCTGGTTAGATGGCATGCAGAAATTACGAAATTAAAAATATGAAATCGTAATTTATTAAATAAAGAACAATTATGATCTAAAGGGTATCAAAATTTACAAAAGAAAAGCTTAATATTTATTTGTTTACTTTATTAAACATTTCTTTCAATGTAAGTTGCTTCGTTTCATGTGATAATACTTTCTCTTTAATTCTATTAAACAGACATAATTTCTTGTTTAGTTAAAAAGTTCCGCTGTTCAAGTCCTATAATTGCTGTGTTGAGAATACCTACTAATTTGTCAATCGAAATGTTTTCGTTTTCAATAACCTCTGGGTCACTTTCTTCACTATCAGAAGCGAATTATAATGATGAGGAACTTGATTTAAATCATATCAGAGTACATCGAGATTAAGTACTACACTTAGTAAGGAATTATAAGCCAAATAAAATAAAAACATCTGCCTTGAAGATAAGGATAGTGCTGACAGATCAACTTCAAATCCGCAGCGTGAAATGATAAACAGATTTCGGATTTCGAAACACACTTTCGCTTTGTAGATACAAATTACATATTAGTAAATATATATCAGAAATTCTATTTGACGTAATCGAAAGTTCAAGCTTACTTTTATGAAATTGCTCTAACAGTCTGCAAAAAATAATAAGCCAGATACAATTTGAAGATTAAGGAACAAAGCAATCTGCAACATTAACTGAATTAGATAATTTTAGCTTAGTTTATACCGTCCGTTACACATTCAACGCGCATGCACACAAACATATTCGCAGCTGTAAAGGTATTACACGCACTCATAAACGCCTGTCCACATGCGTGAACGCGACGCATGCGCAGAAAGTCTTTGAGGTCCGGATTATGGGTGTCCGAATTAACGACTTTTGACTGTACTAGGATTTTACCAGAGGTTGTTAGAATTAAGAAGTTTTTCTGAAGATGTAGAGGTACTATAACGTTTTGAGGACCGTAAAAATTTGTAGCAAAAATGTATGAGCAAAGGTGCCAAATCTAGCGTACGCACTGATTTCAAATTGCATAAGTTTAGATAGTTCTATATTTCTAAAGATGCCATTGAAATACTAGTTTAATTTTTAAATCCTTTTTTGATATGCTATGGATTTAAAAATTTGGGAATTGGCCATGACGAAAAGTCTGCAATCCATGTACACATCAACCTATTTTCACTTAAAAAAAAAAAAAAAAATCCCAGAATTGCAAAAAAAATGGCATTGCGCACACCCTTGACTTTATCCATGTACACATCGGCCTATTTTCACTTAAAAAGTAAAAGAAAATTCACAAAAATCCAATTGTTTTTACCCTTGTAAAAAACGCTAAAAAAATAAGTGAGCGATTCTGCGCTTTACTGAGAATTTTTTCAAAGAAAAGGCATCATTCATTATAGAAAATTATGTTTGAACAAGCAACGAGGTGAAATTATGCTTTACCGATAACTCCTTTAGCGATGCAGGAATCCATTCAGTTATGTTTAGCTTTTTTTATATGTAATTTATAATAATGATCTGAAATAGTTATTTAGTCTTCTGCTTCCATTCAGTTATGTTTAGCCTTTTTTATATAAAATATAATAAAAAAGTATCATATGAAATTAACCTTTCATCTAAATTAAAACAGTAATCTTTAGATAGTTATTTACTATTATACTTCTTTTCTTGCGTTAGGGTTGCCGCAATTACTTTTGGCAGCACTGGCATCAACAATAGTTTGGCGATTTTTCGTGGCCCTCAAACGGAATAGTACCGATGTGGATAACTGTAATGTTTCAATAACAGAAAGTCTGTAGAATAATCTTGCAGAATTAGAAACTCTTCTTTTTACACTGTATATTGCCACAAAAAAGCTACAATCTGAAGAATTAACAGGAAGCTTGTTTCTACAAAAATTGAAAAATGTGATATTTGTTATTTTTAAAATGAGATGGCTTATTGTAGAAGGAATCATTTCTTCATTGCAGAAAAAAGAAACTAGTTTACTAGATAATGAGATTTTGCTGGGTTCAATATATGTAGCTCAGAACAGTATTCAAATCAAGACAGTTAAACTGCAGACATTGTAACTGAGCTTGTATCGTCCTCCTCTATTGATGAATCAGATTTTGAGAAATATTTAGATAATATTGAAAAGGCTAAGGCAAATGGAATGAAAATAAAGAACGAAGAGACTTTGGATTAAAAAAAAAAAATACAAACAAGATTTCTACACAGCCCTTGAAGAAATAAAGAAGTATGATCGCTCTTGCAAGACACCTCTTTTAGAACTTTTACAAATCTATCCTGAAAAGTTAAAAGAAGTAAGCCCTAACAGTAATAGTTCTTCCTCCTACTGAAGTTAGTGTGGAAAGACTATTTTCAGCTCTGAAGTTTTTATTAAATCGGATCTATGGTCCTTTATCAAAGAAAATCTTGAAGTTATACTGCGTCTTAGAAATTACTAATGCCAGTTTTTCTATTTCATAATAAATGCTAATTAACATAAATAATCTACTATGCCATCAATTTTTTTTTTTTTTTCTGCAGCATCTCTTATTTCTTTTATATTAAAAAATAATAATTTTATGTATATGTTTACATATATATGAGTCGGAGTCGGTCATTTTCTCTACCGACTCCACAGCACTGATACACACACACATATATGCACACATATATTATAAATTTTACTTATGCCATCCTATTTCTCTTAACTTAAATTCATACATGCTAAATATGTTTAACAAGCTTTTTTTTTCTTATATATGCTTAATGTCTTGTATTTTTTGTTAACTTTAAGCTTAATACCATATACTATTTTATGAATAACAGTGACTTTTGATTAACCATTATTACTAAAACCCTTCCTAATTAGCCATTAGCAAGTAAAAAATGCCTTGTTGCCAATAGGTTCTGTGGAGTAGAAAATCCTTGAAAATTCTAAAATTTTTAATATATAATTAATATAATTTCATAATTTATGTAACTAGTGTAATTTATGCTTTGTAAAAGAGTAACAATGATTTAACTATGACTTAACTGTGATTCTCATTGAAATAGTGTTCTCATATAGACTGTCATTCATGTTTAATCACAACACATATGACTATAACAAAATACAAAGTAATAAAATATACTTTTATATCATTTCAATTTTTCTTTTTTAATAATATATTTTGGTATTTTTATGTTAATATGACAGCTAAATATGAATTCTAATGATACAGTTAAGATACATTGCCGCTCAAATATACTATTGTTCTTGATTATTTGTTAGAATTTTGAGAAGTAAGTAATTCGCAGTAATATTTTCTTGGTACTTTTCCGTTTCGCCGGCGCAAATCTCGCCAAGCAGACTTTATTGGCGTCAACATACAGTATACACATAAAAAATATTTAAAAAAATGTTAGTTTTAAGAATTCTTTTTTTAAAGGCATAAACATTTTAATATCGCTTAAAATTTTATAAAAAACCGATAAATAAAGACAATAAATTTGTAAAAAGACATTAAGAATTTACTACGCTTTCATGGTTCATATCACGTGACCCGAAGCGATCTCTTCTCATGTAAACTACTCTCTACAAAAATCTAATGCTCTCAGTAATTATCTACATTAATTTCAAGTTAAATCTTAATTTGGAACACAAGTTTAAATGCAAGAAATATTTCAATTCGTACGAATAGCTTACTCAGAAATTATGTAAAACTGCAGTACTTTACTTCGCTAATGCATTCTCATTAGAATTGATGAAATTTAACTCTTGACTTTACCTTTTCTATATTTTCGGCTTCGGGTAAGCGCTGTGTGATTGCATCCTAATTGACTTAATTACCGAAAATGGCCTTGGACATAAAACTGAACTATCTGATAAAAATTCTATGTAATTATATGTCAGTATTGAAAGAAGCAACCAATCTGATAAGAAAAAGCTGCGACTTGTTTTGAAAATGAGGCGTAAAAGGTTACCAGCGAGAATATTCCGTTTGGCATCGGTTGCACCATTATTAGCGACTTTATCGCTTGCGCCGGTAAAACGGAAAAGTACCATTTTCTTTTGGTATGATCATTGGCTGTAATATCATTTTGGTGCTACTTTAGCACTAAAGTATAATTTCATCTTGTAGTTATTTGAATGAAGTTTTTTTTTTTTTTTTTTTTTGGGGGGGGGGGGAGTATTTCATTAATTTGATTTATTATTTGGCAATTCATAAAATTTGTCTTAATTCCTTTCTTAAAAAA